CATCACCAGCATATCGCAACCATCATCACCTACCATCAGCATCATCTCAGCATCATCTCAGCAGCAATCCTCATCATCGCATCTCCTCACCATGATCATCATCACTCACCATCAGCATCATCATCTCTCATCTCATCATCAGCATCATCATCAGCAGCAGCATCATCAGCATCACCATCATATCGCCCCCATCAATCATCACCAACACCCATTCAGCCCCCAAAAAAAAAAAAAAATCTGCGTCAGCATCTCCTCAGCACATCCTCTCACATACATCCTCACCATCTCCTCATCAGCAATCACCATCAGCATCATCATCATCATCTCATCTCATCAGCATCATCATCAGCAGCAGCATCATCAGCATCACCATCAATCGCCCCCCATCTCAACACCACCATCAGCATCAGCGTCAGCATCATCATCATCAGCATCTCTCATCAGCAGCATCCTCACCATTATCATCATCAGCATCACCAATCAGCATCATCATCATCCATCATCATCATCATCAGCATCATCATCAGCCATCAGCATCAATCAGCATCACTCATATCGCCCCCATCTCATCACCACACATTCAGCATCAGCGTCAGCATCATCATCAGCAGCATCCTCATCAGCATCATCCTCACCATTATCATCATCAGCATCACCATCAGCATCATCATCATCATCATCATCATCATCATCATCATCATCATCAGCATCATCATCAGCAGCAGCATCATCAGCATCACCATCATATCGCCCCCATCATCATCACCACCATCAGCATCAGCGTCAGCATCATCATCAGCAGCATCCTCATCAGCATCATCCTCACCATTATAATCATCAGCATCACCATCATCATCATCATCATCATCATCATCAGCATCATCATCAGCAGCAGCATCATCAGCATCACCATCATATCGCCCCCATCATCATCACCACCATCAGCATCAGCGTCAGCATCATCATCAGCAGCATCCTCATCAGCATCATCCTCACCATTATCATCATCAGCATCACCATCAGCATCATCATCATCATCATCATCATCATCAGCATCATCATCAGCAGCAGCATCATCAGCATCACCATCATATCGCCCCCATCATCATCACCACCATCAGCATCAGCGTCAGCATCATCATCAGCAGCATCCTCATCAGCATCATCCTCACCATTATCATCATCAGCATCACCATCATCATCATCATCATCATCATCATCAGCATCATCATCAGCAGCAGCATCATCAGCATCACCATCATATCGCCCCCATCATCATCACCACCATCAGCATCAGCGTCAGCATCATCATCAGCAGCATCCTCATCAGCATCATCCTCACCATTATCATCATCAGCATCACCATCAGCATCATCATCATCATCATCATCATCATCATCAGCAGCAGCAGCAGCAGCAGCAGCAGCATCATCATCCCTCTCGCCCAGCCCCCCCCCCCTCGGAGCGCCCCGCGGAGACCTTGCCAGGAGGTGTTCGAAGGTCTTCGAAAGGGATCGTCGGAGAGTGACGGAGCTCGTCGGAGACTCTCGGGGGCTTCCCGTCAGCTCTCGAATGTGTTCGGTGGCCGTCGGATTCTGTCTGGTGGTTTCTGGAGGTCTCCTCGGGTTTTCCTTGCGGCCGGAAGGCATCGCCAGGAGGCAGTCGAAATTGAACGAAGGCCCTCTCCTCTTCTCGGTGCTGGGGAGGGGAGGGGGGGGGGCACCCCTCGTGTCGTCGGCGGGACGCTGCCCGGGAGGTGGGCCTGGGCAGGCCCATCAGGGGGTCACATGCGAACCCTACCCCTACCCCCCACGATTTCTGGGGGGGGGTAGGGTTCGCATGTGGCCCCCTGCCCATCCCGCACGGCGCCGGGGCCGGGCGCCGCGCGCGGCCCCCCCGCAGGGAAGCGGACAGCCTCTGGTGGCTGGCGGCCGCGCGAGGGCCGGGCGGCGGTCGAGCAGCGGCGGGGCGCGCGCAGGGGGCACCCAGCAGGGCAGCGGAGAGGCGTGCCGTGGCCCGTGGGCCACGTTTTGGCCTGCTCGGGCCCGCCGTGGGCCTTCGCCTTGGCATCCTTTCGGACGTGTGCAATTTTTGTCCTCGGTGGGGACCCTCGAGGAGCATCCACGCATCGATTTGGCGAAAAAAAAGCCACGCACGACACCGACAAAGAGCACAGGGAGTGGACGTCCGAGCGAGGGCGAGGTCGCCGCCCGCGGCCCGACGAGGGCCTCCGAGCGGGCGGCGCCGCTCTGCCCCGGCCGGGGGCCGCGCTGCGGCCGGTCGAGGCCGCGGCTCTGCCCCGGCGCAGCGAGCGGCTGCAGACGAGGCGTCCCTCCTCGCTCCTCCTCCTCCTATTCCTCCTCCTCGCTCCTCGCTCCTCGCTCCCCCTCCTCCTCGCTCCTCCTCCTCCTGCTCCTCGCTCCTCGCTCCCCCTCCTCCTCCCCCTCCTCCTCCTCCTCCTCCTCCTCCTCCTCCTCCTCCTCCTATTCCTATTCCTCCTATGCCGCCACGGCCTTCCCCAGATCTCCGAGGAGCTGAGGGGTGTACTCCGGGCGCTGTCCCTCGATGTCGGCCCCATGGGGCCCGTCAGCGGGCCCCTGGGGCCCTCAAGCACGGATGCGGGGCGGGGAGCTGCCCCCGGGGAAGGGGGCCGGGGCTTGTGGGACCGCAGATGGACAAGACCATGCAGTGGAGGCCCATGCCAAGAAACACCCTGCTTGCCTCCAGGGTGCCCTGGGTTTCATGGTATCTGATGGTTTTGCGATGCAAAACGTGACGCTCCCACACCAAAAATCAATGATCGTTCTGGGGTCTCAGGGTCGGGTTTCTTGTGGAAGGTTTCTTGTGGACTGGCCGCCACTGTAATTATCGGAGGATGTCTGAGTCGCTGCAGCTCGCGGTTTTTGGGTGGGAGTCTTTCGCGAGCCTGGGGCCTCTGGTGGGCGCTTTTTTATTCATTGTTTTGCCGATCGGCGTCGGCCCTCGCGCCCCCCCCTCCCCCCCACCCCATGGAGTAGATCTTGGCCGTTTTTGGGCGCCTGTTTCGAGCAGGTGGGGTCCCTCCCAGAGGCAGTACTCTTGCAAACAGGCGTCTCCTCCGCCCCGCCCTCGCCCTTGTCCTTTCACTGCTTCTCGGCGCTCGGCGCTGCGGGCAGTGTCCCGTGGTGCCGCGATGCCGTGCTCCGCTGCAGCGGCGCGCCAAGCAGAGGTCTGGAGCCAGACCCCCCCTCCCCCCCCCCCCCTTTCCGTCCAATGTCGAAACGCCGAATGCAAAAAACGCGCTCAACTGTAGGCAGCCAGAGCCCGACGAGAGCCTCAGACCGTTGCCACGGCCGGGACAAACACGCTGCGTTTCGGGGGGCCCCCGTCGACCCCCGCAGTTGTTGTGTTGTTGAAGGAGGGGCTTCGGAGGGAGGGGCGAGTGGGATCAAGAGCAGGAGGTAGGAGCAAGAGGAGGTAGATGTTAAAGTCGTGCGTGTCCCTCTACATGGGGAATACTCAAAAATAGCAAACAATAGTCTGGGGACGATGTTTCTGCTATTCTTGATTCTTTTTGAGTATGTTTGACTATGCTCTATTTTTCTTCCCCAATCCGCCTGTAGGAGGGCATGCCCGACCTAAAGGTAGATCGGAGGAGAAATCGAGACCGTTCGAGATGGAACGACGGGCGAACCAAGATGCAAAATAGATATACCAAACCAAGACAACACTACAATAACAATCATCGCCTCCACGCAAATAGCACAAACACACACACACACACTTCGACGTCGGCGGCTAAGCAGAGTGACTGCGCAGGCGGACAGAGACAAACACACACACATACACACACATATATATATATATATATATATATATATATATATATTCACACACACACACACATACGCGCGCACGCACGCACGCACGCACGCACGCACGCACGCACGCACACGCACGCACACGCACGCACGCACGCACGCACACGCACGCACGCACGCACGCACGCACACACCACACACACACACACACACACACACACACACACACACACACACACACACACACACACACAACACACACACACACACACACACACACACACACACACACACACACACACACACACACACACACACACACACACACACACACACACACACACACACATACACACACACACACACACCTTGCGTACCCTTTCCCTCCACAGTGCGCCGTGGGATCCACAGAGCCACCTCGGAATCCGATCGTGGATGGAGCGACCTGTTGCCACGCTGCCCTCTTCCCCTTCCCCTGCCCTCCCGCGTTGCTGCCCTGCGTCTCGCGCAGTGTTGGTTCCGCTTGTGCGGAACTTGCTTCGGCAGTGCGATGGTGGAGACTTCTTTGCTCGGGGCTTGCGCAGTGGAAGAGAAACAAAAAAAAACTCCCGCGACTCTCGCCAAGCTCGCGCCGCGGGGTCGCCCCCGCCGGGCCGCCGCACGGCGGCGGGCCACGCCCTGCGTCGAGCGCGCCGGCGGCGCCGGCGCGGACGCGGCGGCGGCCCCGATGGAGGGCCGCGCGCCGGCCCGCGAGAGCACCGCGGCGACGCCGAGGGCCCGTGCGGCGGCGCAGGTAGTCTTAAGTCGGGCGTGTCCCTCTACAGGAGGAATATTCAAAAATAGTCCAAAGGGACGATTTTAAAAGTATTTGTTGCCCATTTTGGTGCATTGTTTGTGTGTGTGTGAGTGTGTGTGTGTGTGTGTGTTTCATCTTTCGTCCAAAATCCGCCTGTAGGAGGACAGGCCCGACCTAAAGGTAGTCGTTTTTTTATTCATTGTTTTGCCGATCGGCGCGGGCCCTCGTAGATATTGGCTGTTTTCGGCGCCTGTTTCGAGCATGTGGAGTCTCCCCCACAGGACGCACTGCTGCAAACAGCCGCAAGAAGCAGAGGTCCGGAGCCAGACCCCCCCCCCTCCCCCCCCCTTTCCGCCCAATGTCGAAACGCCGAATAAAAAAACGCTCACCAGGCCCGCGAGCCCGTGGACGCGGGGCACGCGGGCGCGGGGCGGTGCTCCCTGCCGCCAGACGGTCGCGCCACCGCCGCGCAGGCCTGGCAGGGGCCCGCTGGCATTTAGTCGGGCGTGCCCCTCCACAGGAGGAGTATTCAAAAATGATACCGGAGAAAAGCCCCAATCGTAATCTTTTTAGGGCAAGAGGGCTATGGGGCAAAAAGGCAAGAAGGCCATGGGCTATAGGGCTATAAGGCCCCTGCAGAGGCAAGCCCTGATGGGGGAATCGTGAAGAATAGTGTGGGACGATTTTTGTTGACTGTTGCTGACTATTCTTGTGCGTTTGGGGCTATGTTTTACTTCTCGTCCCACATCCTTCCCGTAGGAGGACACGCCCGACCTGAGGCTGGCGGGGCGCGGCCGGGGACCGGGCCCCGGCGGGCGCCTGGGGCCCTGCCCTCGGCCCTGTGCGTCTGGCCGGGCGTCGGCGAGGGAGACTGGCTCTCGCTCGACGGCCGCACGGCGCTGCGCCGGCAGGCGCACGTGGACTTCGCGACGCACGTGCCAGCGAGGGTGCTGATGCAGGACCCGGGCGAGGCTAGGATTCAGTCGGGCGTGTCCTCCTACGGGAGGAATCTTCAAAAATAGTCAAAAATACTTTGGGGACGATTGTTTAGATATTGGTTGGTTGTTTTTGATAATTCTGGACTTTTTTTTCGCCCCACACCCCGCCTGTAGGGGGGCATGCCCGACCTAAGGCTAGGACGAGGAGAGGTTCGTGCCATAGCGTTCCGGAACGCTCTGAGCAGGCCGCGGCGCCCGAGACATCTTCCAGAGCCGCCAGAATCCCCGCCCTGGCTTCGTCTTGAGGACCTGGGCTTCCTCCAGAAGCTGGGCTCGCCCAAGAGCGACGCCCTCCCCCTGGGCGCGCCGCCGCAGCCGCAGCAGCAGCAGCGGCCAGCGCACGCGCCCAGCGCCGGCTCGCCGCAGGCCGCCGCGGAGCGCCCGCAGCAGCGCCTGCCGCGCCAGCCCACCGCCAGCGCGGCGCAGGCCGCCGCGCCGCGCCCCGCCACCGCGGACGGCGGCTGGGCTCTGCCGGCGCCGCCGCCGGAGAGGCGCGGAGCCGCCGCGCCCTCGCAGGCTGAGGGAAGAACGGGCACAGACACAAGCCATTGTCGATCCCCATGCAAATATGGGAAGTGAGGGGAAGACGAACAAATCTTGGAGGCTTGCAAAGATATGCTTTCTGGAGTTTGGTTAAGTCGGGCCTGTCCCCCTAGAGGAGGAATATTCAAACATTGTTTCACACACGCAAAAACAAAAGCACAAAACAATGGGGACGATTTGTGGAGTATTTTTTCATGTCTGCCTATTTTTTACTACTTGCAAGTTTTCGTACAAAATCCGCCTGTAGGGGGACATGCCCGACCTAAAGTTCGTGTGTATGTTCACTTCTGTGTCCCTGGGCCCCTTGCACAGGCGGCGGGCGACGCGAGGCCCCACTCGAGCTCCGCCGCGGTGCGGCGCCGGTCACACGACGAGAGCATCCCGGCCGCGTGCGGGCCGCTTGGGAGGGGGGGGGAGCGCGCCCAAGCGGGGGCGGGGGGCGCGGGCCGGGGGGAGGCTTGGAGAGGAGGAGCAGGAGGAGGAAGAGAGAGAGGAGGAGGAGGAGGAGGAGGAGGAGGAGGAGGAGGAGGAGGAGGAGGAGGAGAGGAGGAGGAGGAGAGGAGGAGGAGGAGGAGGAGGAGGAGGAGGAGGAGGAGGAAGGAGGAGGAGGAGGAGGAGGAGGGAGGAGGAGGAGGAGGAGGAGGAGGAGGAGGAGGAGGAGGAGGAGGAGGAGGAGGGAGGAGGAGGAGGAGGAGGAGGACGAGAGAGGGAGGAGGAGGAGGTGGAGGAGGTGGAGGAGGATGGAGGAAGAGAAGGAGGGAGGAAGATGAATCTAGTAGACAAGGATGGGTCTTCACATTAACGCAGCCCGAGCCAATATTGTTTGAGCGCTGCCTGCTGTCGCGACGGCGCGACGGCTCGGCAGGGAGGGAGGAAGAGCAGGAGGAGAAGGATATGGAGGAGGAGGAGGAGGAGAAGAAGAAGAAGGAGGAGGAGGAGGGGGGGTGGAAGAAGAGAAGGGTCGTCCCACATCGCTGTTGATTGCGCCAGGGCCCGAAAGTAGCTTCCCTGAAGCCGAAGATGTAGCAAAACCTCCGCCTCGCGTTTTCAAGACGTCCCATATCTGGGGAAGCACGGCATGTTCGCACCGCGCTGGCGCGGCGGCGAGCCTTGCGCTCGGGCGTTCCGCGTCGAGCGCCGCCAGTGGCATCGAGCGACTTGCGCTGCCGGAGGCCCGCGATGGCCCAGAGCTCGGGCGTTACGTCACGGGGGTGCGATACGTAAAAGTAGATTGGGGGGGGCGAAGGCAGGTACACCGTGCACCTCTTGTGCCCTGAGGGGGGCCTAAAATCAGGAGGGGGAAAAGCACACAGACGCAAGTATTCGCCGATTCCCAGGAAAAGATGGGAAAATATAGAGAACGGGGGGTAAGACGAAAACCTTGAGGACATAGGAAAATAGGGGGAATCCTAGGATTTGTGTGTATTTATTGTAGTGGCCTTCGGCCAGTGCCGCCGATCCGGGTCGCTCGGGGTTATTCTCCAGACGCAGAAATTATGGGCGCACACTCAAACGCACACACACAGTCACACCACTTAACCTGCGCCGCAGACATGCGCACACAGCATCACCCACACACACATACTAGTTGGGAAACGCTCCTGTAGTACTAGTAGTAGTATTAGTAGTAGTAGTAGTAGTAGTAGTAGTAGTAGTAGTAGCAGTAGTAGTAGTAGTAGTAGTAGTAGTAGTGGTAGTAGTAGTAGTAGTAGTGGTTGTGGTAGTAGTGGTAGTAGTAGTAGAGGCCTCGTTCCGCGGCTTCTCTCGACTTCCCGCGGTCTCTCTCAAGTTTCGAGCACGCGGTGAGTTTCACGATATATGTGTGTGTATGTACGCGTGCATGCATGTATGCATGCATTGATCATGTGTGCCTGTGTGTAGGTACGTATGTATGTATGTATGCTTGTGCGCGTATGTATGTATTTAGTTTGTATGTATGTTTGTATGTGTGTATGATAATATGTGTGTATGTGTGTGAATGTAAGTATGTATGTCTGGAAGATTGTTTTTCTATGTATGCAAATGTGTTTAAATGTAGGTATGTATGCATGTGTGTATGGATGTGCGTTTGAAGAGCGAGGATGTTTCAAAGAAGAGGCACTCGGTGACGCGATCGTTGAGGGATAGGAGTGAGGTCGCAGAGGAGGAGGAGGAGAATGAGGAAGAGGCGATAACTTGAAGGAAAACGATGAGACGGAGGACATCCTGCCGGTGGCGCCCTGGGCGGTGCCGCGGAAGAAACCGGGGGCCTGCCGGAGGCAGTCTGGAGGCCTCTGGGGAGCTGTTTTGGGGCCTCTTGGAACCTCTTTTGGGCCTCTTGTGGGCTTCTTGGGGCCCCTTGGGGGTCTCTTGGGGCCTCCTGGGGGCCTCTTGGGGCGGAAAGCTCGGTTCTTTCGGTTCGTGGTCCCCCTCTTGGGCCCCTCTTGGGGCTCTCTTGGGGCCTTCTTGGGCTGTCCAGAGGCCCTCTTGGGCCGTCTTGGGGCCCTCTTGGGCCGTCTTGGGGCTCTCTTGGGCCGTGTTGGAAGCATCGTGGGCCGTCTTGGGACGGACTTGGGGGCCTCTTGGGCCGTCTTCGAGCGTCGGACGCCCGAAAAGGCAAGAACGCTAAAAACCCTGAGAAAACCAATGAAAATCAACGATTCTGGCCTCTTGGGGCCCTCTTGGGAGGCCTCTTGGAAGCTTCTTGGGGCGTCTTGGAGACACCTTGGGCCGTCTGGAGGCCATCTCGGGCGTCTTGGAGCGATTTTTCGGCGACTCGGGGCCCTCTTGGAACCCCTTGGGGGTCTCTTGGGCCCCCCCCCTCCTCCAAAGCGCCGGAAAAAGCGGAGCATGGCGCCCCCCCCCCCCCTATCTTCCACTCCCCCGGAGCGGCCCCGGGGTTCGCCGGAAACTCGCACCCCCCCCCCCCCCCCCACCCCCCCTTCCCCGGCAGAGCCACCCCGGCGACCCCCCCAGAGGCTGAAGCTCAGCCTCGAGGCTGTAGCTGAGACTCCTTGAAACTCACACGCCGGATCGGCGGATTTGTGTGTCCCTGGGCCCCATTCATAAAAGGGCCGCCTCCCCCCCGTTTCGCCGCCCCCCCCCCGTTGACGATGGGCGCCCCAAGGGCCGAACGACCCTCGCGGCAGCAGAACAGCCCACGCCGGCGTCGTCACTAGGCAAACGAAGGATGACATAATCATAAAAACTCACAGGTCCGAGCGGATTTCTCGGATCGTCGCTGGACCCTTCTCCCTGGCGCGCAGAGCGCGCTAGGGGCGGCGCCAGAGGCGCCGCCAGTGGCCCCCAGTGCCGATCCGAGAAATCCGCGCGAACCTCCAAGTTTTTATGCTTATGTCATTCTTCGTTCCCCTAGTCTTAAGTCGGGCGTGTCTCTCTACAGGAGCAGTAGTCGAAAATAGTAAAGAAATAGTGTGGGGACATTTTTTGAATATGTTTGGACCATGTTTGAGCATCTGTTTCGTATTTTTTATTTTTCGTTCAAGATCCCCCTGTAGGGGGACATGCCCGACCTAACCCTAGTCACGGCACGCCACCATGGGCGCCGTGGTTTTTTTTGGGTTCCGATGGTTCTACGATGGAAAACGCGACGTCCCCATACCAAAAATCAAGGGACATCCTGGGCTCCCAGGGGGCCTCTTGTGGAAGGTTTCTTGCGGTCGAGCTCCCACTGTCTGTCGTCCTTCGCTCCCCTGGCCACGGCGCGTCACCCTGGGCGCCTCCCCCCCCCCCTCGGGGAGGCGCGCGGGCGGAGCGCCCGCCCCGCCCCGCCCCCCTCCCCCCCATGCAGGCCGGCGCTGGCCGAGTTCGTGTCCATCCGGTACCCCGAAGGCGCCGGGGAGGGGGGGAGGGGGGGAGGCCTCCCCCCCCTCCCGGAGGGGCCCAGCCCTCCAGCGTCTCTCGGGCGATCGCAGACGCGGAGCAGGGGGGCGTGGATGAGCGACGGGTCCCCCGTGGCCGTGGGAAGTCGCGGGCTTCCGCCGCCGACCGAGGCGGCACCGGCCGCACTGTGGGGAGGGCACCTCCCCCGATGCGTGGGTTTGGCGACCGCGCGCGAAATCCATGGATCGCTAGTCCGTGTCTGCGCGCCCCGGGTCTCGAGAAACTCGAGACGGATGTTTTTTTTGTTGTTTTATGAATTTTCAGCCTCTGGGGGACCACGCACTGAGAAACGCAAGACACAGGATGTCTGGGGAGGGCGACGCCCGGGACGGAAGAGGGTGGGATCGAAACGTATCGGATGGGAGTTCCGCGAAAGTTCACCTTGAGAAGCCTCTGCCAGGGGCATGCGGCCATCCGCGAATCGGATGAGGGAGAGGAGAAGGAGAAGGGTGGACGAGGAGGAGGATGATAAAAGCTGTTCCTGCTTGTCTTGAAATGTTTGATGTGTTCGCTCTTTGCCCCGGCATCCTGAGAGGAGCTCTTGTTTTCTTCAACCATTTCCTCCTCCTCCTCCTCCTCCTCCTCCGCATTTCAGGCCTTTCAGGATCGGCCAGTGTCTCCGAAAAGGCGTGGCCGCTGCGAGGGGGTCTCCACCTCCCCAACCTCTCAGACGAAGCACTCCCTGTGGTTGCCGAGCTCGCCGAACGCCACGCCGCTCCCCCTCGGGAGCTCTCGGCCTGGGTACTGCCGTCTCCCAGGCCGGCCGCCCTGGGCACAGCCGGCTCCCAGGGCGGGTCGTCGCCCGCGGTGCTGTTGTCGACGACCGTGGGCCTAACCCCTCGCCCTGCAGGGGAGCCGTTGCCAGCGGCAGGGGCCTACCCCCTCGCTCCGCGTGGGTGACGATTGCTTGCTTCGGATCTTCGTGGCGATCTCTGCTCGCCAGCGTCGTGCTCAGGTG